ATTGTTTTCTCTTGTGCATATTTTCTCATGTTTATTAAGGTGAGACAATCGAGTGAAGGCCTTCCCTCAGAGATAACACTCATAATTTTTCACCCGCATGTATCCTCTCATGCCTGGTAAGGTGACCTGATTGAGTGAAGGCTTTCCCACACAGATGGCATTCATATGGTTTCTCTCCTGTGTGTGTTCTCTTATGGATAATAAGGTTAGATAAGTGATTAAAGGCCTTCCCACACAGATGGCATTCATGTGGTTTCTCTCCTGTGTGTGTTATCTTATGCACATTAAGGTTTTTAAGAAAAGTAAAAGCTTTTTGACACACATTACATTCATATGGTTTTTCTCCTGTATGTGTTTTCTCATGGCGAACAAGGTCAGAAGACCGAACGAATGCCCTCCCACATAGATGGCATTCATAGGGTTTTTCTCCACTGTGTTTTCTCTTATGAATTTTAAGGGTGTTAAGAAGAGTAAACGCTTTGTGACACACATTACATTCATATGGTTTTTCACCTGTGTGCTTTCTCTCATGACAAGTAAGATTGTATGATTGAGTGAAGGCCTTCCCACACAGATGGCATTCATATGGTTTTTCTCCTGTGTGTGTTCTCATATGAATAGTAAGGGTTGCACAGCGAGCAAAAGCTTTATGACATGTGTTACATTCATATGGTTTCTCTCCTGTGTGTGTTCTCTCATGACGAGTTAGGTTATATGGGTGAACGAAGGCCTTCCCACACAAATGGCATTCATATGGCCTTCCCCCTGTATGTGTTCTCATGTGAATATTAAGGGAATTGCTATGAGCAAATGATTTCTGACACACACTGCATTCATATGGTCTCTCTCCTGTGTGTATTCTCTCATGGCACATTAGGTTATATGATCGGGTGAAGACTTTTCCACATAGATGACATGCATATCGTTTTTCCCCTGGGTGTGTTCTGTTATGTATTTTAAAGGTTTCATGATGAGTAAATGCTTTTTGACACATATTCCATTTAGATGGCTTCTCTGCTGCGTGTGTTCTCTCATGCCTTCTAAGATCATATTGCCTATTGAAGGCCTTCCCACATACAAAGAACTCATATGGATTCTCTCCTGTGTGTATTCTCATATGAGATTTCAGACTACATGAATTCTTGTACATTTTCCTACATTGATGACACTTATAAAGCATTTTATCAGTGTGTGTTTTCTGATTCTGATAACATTTAGCAGATTGACTGAAGTTTGTTCCCAACACACAGAGTTCATTTCCAGATTCAGTCATCTCTTGTCTTAATTCTGACCGACATATGAAGGGTTTACTACAGAGATTGCCTTCAGAATGTATCGCCTCACACTGAGCATTTTCCTGCAGTTTAAATAGAAATTAGTTTGATTTAAAACATAGCAATTCATACATATATGATTTCAGAGAATTTTGTAAAATATTTCTTAAATATCTTAACATTTATTGTACATTTTGACTGCAGATTATACCGTTTCCTGATTGATTAGTCAGGGAAAAGGGCTTCTCATTTGATATAGTATATGATATTCGCTTTAATGAAACATTCCTTTGTCTCTTCATGTTTGAATTCTGTAGAAAATGTAATTTCCACTGTCACTGTACATATGGAGTGTGAATATAGAATGTGATTTAAGAAATTATTTGTCAGAGGAATGAGCTAAACCTCTGAATTCATTTCAGCTGAACGGTGTTTTTCAGTACAAATGATCCATTGTGGATTGCAAATCAGCTCTTGTTTATTACATGCTCATATATCTTCATATACTATGTCATCTCAAAAATAATTCAAGGTTAATCCATGAATTCAAGAGATAACGGATTTGGTTTTAATTGTACATACAAATATAATAATTCCAGGTTGGAAAAGTATTTTTATCTACATTATCAAATGTAAGTTGTGAGAAGATTAATACAGGTGATTTTAATGCACTTCAGAATTTAGGTAAAACTATGCTTTTGTTATGATTATTTTTAAAAATTTTATTTGTGTGTGTGTG